GATATTTTACAATTTTAATATAATTACTTACATACGTGTCGAGTTGATAACCTCCTTTTTTGAAGCCGTTTAAATATAAATAATATAAATATATATGTACCTATATAATATGTATATAAGGATTCCCAAGGAGGGTTGACGTCAGGCAGGCGGCCGGTCGTAAAACTTTTGCCAAATCCTATCAGCAGTACAGAAGATGTACTGCGCCGACCCCAAGTGACTGGGAAATGGGCAGGGAGAAGAAGAAGATAATATGTAAAGGTTATATAATAATAAGCTCTCTTTTCATGGTCGTTATTATTTTTAAAAATTTTACCTCGGCCATAAAAAAAGAAGAGGCTATCCAGGTAAATTAAATGTTAGACATTTAAATGCAAAAAAGGCCCAATAAAGAAAAAAATGTCTAGACTCAGAAACCATTAATACCGTTTTTCTTTAGAAAAATCCTTATAATTTTTCAATTACCTATAGATTAAAAGGAAAAGTTTCTCAAAGTCAGAAAAGTCTAAATTTCTCACGAGCAAAGCTAAAGGTTTCGAGCTTTTTTCAAAAGAAATGCTTAATTACGAACTTTTAATTTGCGAGAAATATTCCATTAGGAGTTCTCATACTTTGTGTTTATAATTATTTAAAATGTTAGCAGCTTTAATTAAAGGTAAGGTGGTTTATATTTTACAAAGATATTGTAAAGGAACAATAGAGGCATCGATTAATTTGTGCTTTATGCTTCAGAATCTGAAAACGAATCAGATATTTAACAAAAAATCTTGTATTATAATGTCCCACTGCTAGGTGAAGACGTTTATTAAATACTAGCGACTCACCCTCATCAGTTATCATCATACCAAATTTCATCAACATCTGTTCAGTCCTACACAAATTAGTTGTCATTAAACGATTACACTGGCACGCGTAAATCTGACCTTAATCGAGAACTGCATTTAATCGAGTAATCATACGCCAAAATGCCTTACATCATTTTGGATAAGAGCTGATACTCTTATACTGCTGGACTGATGTTAACCAAACAAACTGGCTTTCAAGTGAAAAAAACCGCATCGAAATCGGTCCATCCGTTTGAGAGCTACGATACACACTCACACAGACAGATATCGACGTCAAACTTATAATATTCGAGTCCCAGGGATTTGAACTTGCTTAGCTTTTTACAACGTATTTATAAAATAACTTTGCGTACAAATTTCAAAAAACTGGTTTTGTCCAGATTCAAACTGTCATATAGATTAGATGTGTACTTAAAAAATCATAATTACAATCGAATAAAAACTGGCGGAGATATCGGGTAAAATACAGATAAGAAAACATACATCTAGATATGAATCTTGTCTTTTTGAAATCGGCCAAAATAATCAAAATAAGGCTTTTATACGCAGACATGTTACACTCACTAATTAACGGATACAGCGTGTTGCGAAATACGAAATATTCATGCCGTAATAAATAAATGTTCATTTTAAAATTGAACAACGTTTTCATCGTGGATAAGTGATTTTATAAAGACCAATTAAATTTTGTTTCAACATTTTGAAATTTCGCTGAAATTTATATTGGTTTTCCGCATGAGGTGTGTCTGCTTTAGATGAGTCAGGAGCTTCATTGAGGAGGTTTCTTTGTAAATTGCTTAAAAGTAAGTTACAAGTTCGATTCTCGCATGAGATAAGACTTTGTAGGTTTCGTAAGTGAGGTAGGTAATGAAAACTAATCCGGAGCCTTAAATTTATTACTCTTGGAAAGATACAATTTTTATATCTTTTAGGTATATGTCAGTTTGTTCACGTCAAGTAGTAGAAACGACTATAATATTACAGTGGGGATATACTCGTAGACTTTCTTTGTTGAAACGCATTAGGTGCATATTAGCTATACCTTATTAGGCTACCCATATTAGGTTATACCTAAAAAATAATGTAAGAAAATCAGCTGACAATTAGAGGAAAAAAGTTGAACTGTTTCATCTTTGCCTGTTTATATATAGACTAGCGAATACCCTTGCTCCGCTCGTGTTCGTTTCTAGTTACGTTTTAACGCTTAATGTAGATTTCTCAGATTTGAGATATTTACCCGGATTAAAAAGTATCTTATATGTTGACCCGGATAATCAACTATCAGAATATCGAATTTCATCAAAATCTGTCTAGTGGTTTTCTCGTGATACGTTCCCTGACAGACAGACAAAAAATCTAAAAACTGTAGATTCGGCTTTTGTATCAATAATAATGACTATTTCAATAAGATTTTCCAAAAAATATTTAATGTACAGATTCGACTTAGTTACAATTTTATTATATGTATAGATAAAGCAAAAACATACGCAAACATATAAAGAAATATATACCAGCTCAATTCAGATTTTCCTCCATTCTCAAGTTGAAAGTAAAATATGGTTTTCTAAGATATCGAGGCGATAAATTACTAAGAAAAGTTAAATCCTTTGTTCTATAATAATGGAAAGTTTCTTAATAGCTTGTTATTATAAATATTAATTAGTCTAAATAATTGAAATACTTGTTTTTGTGTTGATATGAGAAAGCTCATAATATACAAAAAAACTTTAAATCTTATATATTTAAACGAGCAATTCTTGTATGTATATATATATATATATATATATATATATATATATTGACATAAGCATATATACATTGGCATAAGCATCGTGGTCAAGCGGCCAAGGTGCAAAATCAACAATCACAGGTCCAGGTTCGAATCTCGGTAGGATACAAAATTTTTTACTTTTGTTATTTTCAATATTTATTCAAGTTTTTAGTTTAAAAAAAAAAAGAAAATTGTACTTTAGGCCAAAATCTCCGACCGGAGTTCGGTCGCCCAGATACTGTTAAATTATGTTGAAATACATCTTAAATTAAATTTGTTTTTTCTTTTTCATAGAATATATTTACTAGGTACATTTCTCTTTCCGCTATCTCTTAGCTTCACTAAAAATTAGAAAGAAAGAGAAAAAATATAATTTATGGAGTATGTAGTACAAACCATGGGAAATGAAAAGAGTTCATGGGAATGATATTTTTCACTTTATTTTTTCCGCATTTGACATAAAAAATATCTTTTTTCTAAAAACCCACTATAAAACTGGCGCTGGCATAATGGATGAGAAGATATGCGTACTAATATCCATACTTAATATTATAAATGTGAAAGTGTGTTTGTTTGTTTGTTTGTTTGTTTGTTTGTTTGTTTGTTTGTTTGTTTGTTTGTCCTTCTTTTGCGTTTAAACGGAGTCATGGATTGGCGTGATTTTTTGTGTGGAGATAGTTGGAGGGCTGGAGAGTGACATAGGCTACTTTTTACCGCTGGAGTTTACCTCATTCCCACAGGAAAACACGTTTTAATAGAACCCAAGAAAATATTTATGAACAAAATTACTTGAAACTTCGTATTAATGCTCTTCAATACATTTTAAAGAAAGTATTATACTCTTCAATACAATTAAATAAACATGTGTTTTAGAATTTTTCTAAATTTATCTTTTTTTTCTAATTTCTAAATATAATATACATAAATAAAACAGGGAATGATCCTCGTAGCTTACCATGGAACTAGGTGGCCCTGTGTCTTAATATCCCAACATATTTATTTATTTATTTATTTAATGAAAGTCATACAAATATGAAGCCTACATTTTTGGAGCTTTTTCTGTAGTTATAGCGCGAGCGGTTATAATATTTAGTAGTGATTTAGAGCTAAAATTCTCTTCACTATAAAATAGATTTGATTGATATTTGTCCTAAACTAAAAGACGTAACATTTCGTCTTATAACCTCTACTGGTGACAAGAAAGCTGGCTCATTTTTCGCAAAAAGAATCGGCATTGCCATTCAGCGGGAGAATGCGGCTAGCAATCTCGCCACAACTCCACGCGGACATGACTTGTACAGTAATAATTATTTTTGTATTGTATATTTGTATTGTATATACAATTAAGTATGTTTTTAATTTCAATATATTTCCTAAAATATAAGACGAACTTGTTATAGCTTTATAGTGCTGGTACAAATATAAATCCTTCAAAACCGCCAGATCTAAGCCACAGCTCAATAGTTAATCTAACTAATGCAGTTAAATCCTGTTCAGCTCGATTCCAATCGAGTTAGGTCGGACATGTCGTGATAACGATGTTACTCCGTGACAGACTCGGTTATTGAGCGCATTATGTCGATGTTTATTATCGCTTAAACAGAAGGTAGTAAAATTTCCATTATTACACATATGTACTCGTACACATTTTAAAAAAAGATAGTAAAATTTTTGTTATTACATGTACTTGCAATTTTAAAGAGAAACTTCTTTAGTATCGCTGTGATTTGAAACTCGATGAAATGAAAATGCGTCACGACAAAGAGAGAAACATAAATGTGTAAGGATAATATATAGGATTTAGCTGGCGAGAGAATGAGATAGTAAATAATAAAAAAAATACTGTCTTCTATATTTAAACGAGCAATTATTGTATCTTACGGGCGATATCGGAAACGGCTTTAACGATTTCGCTGAAATTTGGTATGTGGGGATTTTCGTGGGCAAAAGTCGATCTAGATTAGTCTTACGTCCGGGAAAATGCGTTTTTTCGAGTTTTTATGTGGTTTTCTTTCGCACACAAAATATGGTCGCTAATTTCGCACGCTCGGGCAAAAGCATCGTGATCAATGGGCAAGATTGATGATCACAGGTGTCCGGGTTCGAATACCGGTAGGATACAAAGTTTTTACTTTTGATTTTTTGAATATTTTTTTTGTATTTATTCAAGTTTTTAGTTTAAAAGAAAATGTACTATTGGTGTCAAAAACTCCCAGGTCGCCCAGGTAATGTTAAATAAAATTTATATATATGTAGTTAAAAGCTGTTATTTTGATGTTACAAATAGACACTTCAATTTTATTTATTTGTATATGTATATATGTACGTATAGATGTCAAATATTTGCGTTAATCTATTAAATTATTCAAGCAGTCTAAGCTCACCATCAGTGGGCACCACTCTAGACCTGGCCAGGTCCGCTTTGTTGCCGACGAGTATGACCGCCCGCCGAGTGGTGTGTCCCGCCGCCCACAGCGTCTGGAGCCTCCTCTCGGCTTCTGCGAAACTGGTTCTGTCTGCTGTACTGTACACCACGCAGTAGCCGTGCGCTGCTCCTTCAGACTGTCAAGGAGATTTAATAGATTAGATAGATTTGGAAAATAATATGCCTTCTCCAATCTAGCGCGACATTGACGTAAGAAAAATCACATATTATATGTATATAATATAGATTGTTGGTAACCACTGTATTTTACCAATATTTAATATTGGTACTATTAATTAATTTCTTCTTTCTTACTGCCACGTTAGTTTAGTGGCTAGCACGTACGGCTGCAGACTCGAAGATCCTGGGTTCGAGTCCTTGGTAGGCCCAGTTTAGTGATTGAGCTTTTCTATTAAAATATTCTCTTTTGAAGCGTGGAGTTGGAAAATTGGTGGTGGTAGACCCCTGAGCCTCGGAAATCACGTAAAGCCTTCGGTCTTGCGCCTTAAATATCATCGGTCGTGTAAACGTATCGTCTCATCAGACTTTGTGAGTGAAAAAGAATAGAGAGTGTACTTGTGTATGCGCAAAAATTTGAGCACTATAAAATCTTCGTCAATCCTTAACCAATTTTATTTTCACCTTTATTGTTTACCTTCAAGAATGAAATATATACTCGTAAAAGTCAAGAAGAACTTTATTCCATGATCATATTGAAAATGATTTTAAAGTCCATATAAAACGCCTTTAAAGTATAATACTCACAATCACATTGTCTGGCGGTGAATCTAGGAAAGTGATCTCCGACTCCTCTCCCGCGAGCAACACGCAAACGGACTTCTCACCAGATTCGTCATCTACAAAGATAAAAAAATTGAAATGTTGTTTGTTTTACAATGAACATTTAGAAAAAAATATATAAAATTATACGAGGCACAACATATTAGGCAATAGTAGCCCAGTGGAAGGTTAGGACCCTTTAGGAACAATACAAAAACGCGAGTGGAGCAGCGGGCAAACACTAGTTATATTTAAGTAACTTATAATGAGTTTTACTTTTGAGGATTATTACCCCATGGACCAGTCTGGTTTTAATCCTACATATACTTTCTTTGAATGGTACATACGAGTATATGTATTTCCTGCGTCTCTAAATTGTGATCTTTGATGTAAGATTAGGGGTATTTTCCACGACGCTGATTTTGGGAACTTAATAGCACTTTCGTTTGAAGCTTTTGTGATAAATATTTAATTGGTCGTGAAGATTTTGAATAGTATAATAGCTTATATCTAAGTATATTTGCCAATTATTTGTACATTGTGTTAGTAATGTTTTATATTTATGTATGTGCTTTTATAGGTAAGTGTCATACTCCGCTAATGATACTTTGGCAGTATTATTAGCGGAGTAAAATAAAAAGCCTGTTCTTGATGCACTTATGATATCTATAATAAATATTTATGGCAATTGATTTATATTGCTAATCAATTATATATAATTATAAAGGTGCATGGCGGTGTGGGGGTATTTGTGATGATGTTAAACAAATAATTTAATCCAGCTGAGTCTCTTTCGTCTTCTCTTGACTGAGACTTTTTCTTTCCTAGCTGGTAGTAGAAACATATTTTTCAGTTACAAATTATAATAATTTTATGCTGAATAAATTTTTTTTTTAAAATATCATAAACAAGTCCTTAGTTAACCTTACCAATGCTAGTATCGTACGCGTGCAAGTACTCCGACGTCATGAACTGACCCACTAGACTCGACTTGCCCACACCCGGCCCGCCCAGCACCAACACTCTGTATGTACTGAGACCAGCTGATGAATCCCTGTCAGTAGATATTTGATAAACATAAACTTAGATAAAATATATTTTTTGGGTCTTTTCGGGGATTTTATTTTTTTAATTGCTGATTTTTTGACTAACATTTTTTTTTCTGAAATATCGATGTCAAATATAGGATGTATATGGATATGTATAAGGAAACTATTGTCCAATTACGTGGAATATGCCCCAAACGCACCTTCGAGCGATTAAATATCAGATGCTTTATTTTAGAAGAAGACTTTAATTAATCTAACAAGTATATTGAGATCTGCGAAGTGCGCACAATCATTATTAAAAAGTTTTGTTCTATAGAAACCATAAAAACAAAACTTTTTGACATCTGTGGAAACTTGATTGGTTTTAGGATTAATTTTATATATATATTATAATGTAATTATTTATTGTACTGCATGTTTCCCTTAAAAAGCAAATAAATCTTACTTCTATATAAATGCGAACGTTTGGATGGATGGATGTTTGTTACTCAATCACACCAGAACAGCTGAACGGATCTGGATGAAATTTGGCGCAATTATAGACTATAGTCTGGAATAGCACATAATATGCAGTTTTATCTCGGAAAAATGTACGGTTCCCGTAGAATAGATTTGTTTTCTTGTTTTTCACTAGGGATGGACCCAAACGAAGCAAGGGGGAGCCGCTAGTAAATTATAAATAGTTTGATTTATTTGACAATGTAAATTATAGTACATTTTATACCTCGAAGATGCTAAAGAGCAAGGCGCTGAAGCTCTCGTCACAGCCTCAGTGCTAGACGCGCTGGACGCCACCGATGTGTTGGACCGTGACCGTCTGGATCGTAGGGAATCCCCTCTATTTATTACACCTTTACCTGATGGAAATATATTCAATAAAGAATAATTACATAAGAACAACCTAAAGCTTAGGACACACTCCTAGTATAGTATGACTTTCAAGATAAAGTTTTTTAGGAATCAGACGTATGAATGAACCCACGATTACCATTAGTTATATCATTTGGACAAACTTTGAGCCCAATGAGACTTTCTATGGACAATTAATATATACTAGTATTTGCCCAGTAGTAGAAATCGAACATTATATTTCTTTTATTGATAGTACTAAATCTCGTCAATGACTTAAAAAAACGGTTGATAAACAAAAGAGGAAATGGTACAGAACTGTTTTGCCATGGCCTATTTAAAATAAAAAAATATCCCTTTTAGAGAATTATTGAATAATAACATTATAACTAATTATACTATTATATCTTAAAACTTAGCTTACGTTTTAGTGTTTATATTCTATGTACTTTTAAATAAAAAGATTTTTTTTTGTTGGAACGTTCAACGTGATAGCTTCTTAGCTACGGAATTAAAATACTCAAGAATAAACATTCATAAACAGAATTATTTTGATTCATCAGAATAACTATATATTTTAAATGATAGATTTAAAAAAGTACATTCTTATTTCTTAATTGGATTTAATATTAAAATTGATGTCGAAAGCTCAAAAGAAAAAGCTCTATTTTAAAGAAACGATTATTTACAGTTCACTTACTCGAGACTTTGTAAACGTGATCAAGGGCTGTTACTTAGAAAAATTTTTTTTAACTTGGTAAAAGTGTTTAGGGGTTACTTTCTGCACTTACAGGTCGTGGGTTCAAAGCCTGATATAACACTTTAACTTGCTGTTGCTTCTTTAATCATTTAAATACACGAGCTACCCCAGCTATGGAGGTACTGACATTTTATATGACTTCAAATTTGAGGATTTACTTGAATGTATATTTCTTTTACATTACCGATGCGAACCGATTTTTATGTATAAGTTATCTCAAAAGAAAAAATGCTACCCATAGCTCAGAAAATTATATTTTGAGCTCGTTTTATGAGTAGAAGTTACTTTGGTAATTCAAGCTTCTTCTTATTTAGAGAATTACTGTATTTTATACACTTAGGTATGCAAAAACAAGAGTTTTACATATTCATATATTAATTTATAACAATTTCGGCCAGATTGGCATAGCATTCCTGGCTGCAGCTAGTATTCTTGCCACAATTCCAACGAGGACATGACTTGTACAGTAGATGTATTTTCTTTTCTAATAAATTATTTATCTATACATATAATAAAATTGTAACTAAGCCGAATCTGTACATTAAATACTTTTTTTAAAATCTTATTGAAATAAACATTATTATCGATACAGAGGCCGAATCTATAGTTTTTAGAATTTTCGTCTGTCTATCTGTCTGTTTTTTTTCTATAATGGCTGTGTGTCTGTTACCGCATCACAGAAAAACCACTGGAGGGGTTTTGATGAAATTTGGCATGGTGATGGCTTGTTATCGGGGCCAACATATAGGATACTTTTTACTGCGGGAAAATGTCTCATTTCAGAGAAAAAAAATACAAAAACTGCAATGTAAGAGTACCTATACTAATATGTAAAATCTAAGAATATGCTATGCAATGCAGTGCAATGCTAGTACCATATAATGATTTACTAAGCTGTAATAAACTTGAGATGGAAATAATGATCAATAGAATAAACTTTGTTCTTGAGCTAGTCTCGACTTGTCCACCACCTAACTAATATACATACTTACCAGTTATACTAAAATGCCTCAGTCTATAATACTCCTCTTCGACGCCAGTGTTGGGCATAGACGCTACTCTCGCTCTTTGTTGTGGCAGTCCTAAGAGCTGACGTTCTCCCGTACGAGATCTCTGCGCCTTCACTGATTGGGATCGAGAATGGTGTGGACTACCGTACCTATAAGTTAAAAAGGAAATTATACTTCTAATCTATACATAATAAGATTCTGAGTCGAATTTGTACATAAAATATTTTTTGGAAAATCTTATTGAAATAGTCATTATTATCGATATGGAGACCGAATCTTTAGTTTTAAAAAAATTGTCTTTCTGTCTGGGAACGCATCACGATGGAAAGATTTTGATGAAATTTGGTATGATAATGCTGGGTGGGAAAATACCTCATCTCTAAGAAATTTGTATATGCAAAATTTGCATGTTTGTTACGCTTTCACGTTGTACTGGGGGAATGAACGGCTGGACGGATTAAGAAGAAATTTATTATATAGATGGACTATAACTTGAAGTTCGTAACATATTGGAAATAAAATTTGCCAAAATATAGTGTTTCATGTAAATAATATTGTGAATTCAAAAGATACCTAGCAACCTCCGAGATAAGTGAAGGGTTGCTAAGAGTTGCTATTGTAAAAATATAAGGAGAATATTATGTTACGTGCACATTCTTTATACAAATCCTTAATAAATTATTTTACTGTCCATACCCTAATATGTTCGATAAATGAATGGTGTGAAAAACGGCGATGATGAATAGTGTAAAACTAACAATTTTTCATAGGTTATAAATTGTGTTACTGAAATTCTCGCTCATTTATTTGAATGTGTTTCGTACATGTCATGTTAGTTTGTGAGTATAAATAGAGTCATGATTCTGATATAATTGTTACAGTAATTTATTATGTTTTAATGAAACAATTGCATGAAATACAATATAAAGCGTTACCTTTCTTGTCATTATGGGTCAATCAAATATTTCTAAATTCAAATGCAAAATATTCAGCATTAAATTATTACAATTTTTTACTGAACGTCATGAGTCTACTATCTGTTCGGAAAGAAGAAGCCTCAGACCTGAGAAGATATGGCGAAAGTAACTCAAATAAAATGGCTAATAAATATTATATGTAATCGAAAGCGTGAAATTAAGTATAATAATTTGACTTCTTTCAGTTATACCTCACATACGTTGTCGAGGAAGTTGAGGCTAATTAGAAAGCAAGCAGAGGTCAAAAACTTTAAGTCTCTCACGTAATAGGAGCTCTTGGAATGTTTTCGGGGATCTTGTTCTAAGACATACATACAACGTATAATATTATACATACAACAATGTCCATAAAAAGATTTACTGACTCTGTGTGATTGATTTCACAAGTTTGTGCTCCTGGTATAAGTGTCAGGCTTATTGAGAAATTCTCCATGACCGCAGAAATGGTGAAATTTAGTTTTAGTCAGAATTGCTCTACATTTATATTTCTCAAGACAAGGGTGGTAGTAAATGATGCATTAAAAATGCGTGGAAAATTACACGATATAAAACTCTGGATAAATACTAAAACTGTTTTGAATTATTATGTTACAATAGTAGAAAAATGGAGAATACAATGAAATGCTGATAGCATTGAAAATATCCGTCGTGTTATAATTATAATAACTAGTTTATGCTCTTTATCAAAGTGCGACCATAAATGATTATGAATATGTGAGAAAAACATATATGAATTAACAAAACTTTTTTATATATACTATTAAAGCTTGTTTAATAGCTACTAAACAAATAGGAAGGAGAAAAAGATACTAAATTCTTTTTTTCTTTGCCTATTTAAATATATTGTACTAGTATTGCCCGCGGCTCCGCCCGCGTTTTTCTCATACCAAATTTCATCAAAATCCCTCCAGTAGTTTTTCTGTGATGCGGTAACAGACAGACAGACGGCCTCTGTATCGATAATAATGTCTACTTCAATAAGATTTTCCAAAAAATATTGAATGTACAGATTCAGCTTGGTTACAATTTTATTATATGTATAGATATACTTTATATATCACATTGTATTTTAAGCTGATTCTAATGACTTTATAGCAAAAATTAAAGCAACTTCAAAACAGCCTAAAGCGTAATTATAAGAAACATTTACACCAATATTTTCCTGTTTATGTGATTAAAACAGCTCGTTCATGGAGTCGAAATTTGTTTGATAAATACAATTTCCTTTTTCCCATTTACGTTGTAATAACCCTTCACTGTGGATTATGTACCATAATTATCATTTGCAGAGTAAGCGTCAAATTACCTAAGGTCGCGCGCATACTGTGCATTTATAATTTATTTATATATTTATAAATGCACACTATATGTATATTACATATACGTATATTATATATATATGTATATATATATATATATATATATATATAGTTGTATACAGTAAGGTAATAATTTTGTTAATTTATCCAATATATATAAAATTTATTATAATTATATTTATAATACGGTGAATGGCTCAGAGAAATGGATTAGAGAGAACAAATTTTATTTGTATCAAAACCGGCTTCATCTGCCCCACCCTGGGTGATTTGTTTTTTTAAAGGTTTATTTTTAATTCAAACATATAATTACTTTAAAGGTTGGACCCAAAATTTATGAGAATAAACTTCTTGCAACTTTAAAGTTAAAATGTAACAGATGGTGCAAAATTTGATTGAAGGCGGTAGAAGACATAATATATGTATACATAGAATAGTTTTAATATGTTTTCCAAAGAAAAGCTAGGTTCATGCGATAGCTGTTTATTTTTATAATATATACATTTGAACAGTAAGTAGGTAACAGATAGACTATATATTAGGATATGTGTATACGTAGGTATGATGAGCTTTATATCCCTTACTCGAGAAATAATTAGTTCCCCGGACAAACTTCCATCCCCCTTTTCACCCCTTTAAAGGTTGATTTTTTAGATAAAAACTATTCTAAGTCCTTTCCAGGATCTCAAACTATTCATACTACATACTCGTCTAAATTGGTTGAGTGGATTTTTAGTTTATCCATTACAAACAAACTCACAACTTACAAACTCTTCTTTATAATATTAGTGTGCATATGTGGTCTAGGCACCTCTTTATCCCCAACACAAACAAACACAATTTCCATATTTCTAACAAAAAATTTACAAATTGCCCTAAAAACTTTCATTTAACTTCTTTAAGGGATAAATATTCAATAATTGTTTCTTGGTACTCATCTCCGTTAATATCTTTTGTGCAAAATCTCATGCTTCCAAAATCCAGTGGCTTAGGTTATTCATAATCTGTCAGTCATTGTTAGGAGTTTTATTAACTAAACTCGTCTTAGGTTGATTTTACGAGACGCAAAACAAAAGATTCTCATTGGATCTTACATCTAGATAACGGTTAATCATCACTTCCTGTTATTCCCCTGAAACTCCTATTTAAAGCGTAATAACTTTTCACGCCTAAACCCCTATTAAAGAGCAAGCATTAATAAGATAAGGCGTTTGTTTGTGCGCGTCTATTACTAATGGAATGTAAAGAATTTTAATTTTCATTGTAACTTAAATAGGAACTAGAGTCATTTATACTAATTATTAATGAAAATTTGAGGAAAACAATTTAGGTATGTAAAAATAACGATTTTACAATTTTATTATTGGTAACACTAAAGACCGTCAATAGTTACTAAATGAAATCAGTCAACACTGAAGGAAAAGATACAAACTACCTATTTGGTCTTTGCCTATTTATATAAAGATAATAAACGTTATAATTGATTTTTATTTATTATTGTTTATTTTATTTTTGCTTTTGTGAAAGTAAAACAATCAATTCTTTATTTTCCACACTTTTTCCAAAAAATTAACAAATTTTTATAAAAATGAATTGAAATAAATTTGTTTGTTGGTCATATTCATTACAAGTATTCACTTCCTATAGATTTCTAATATCGTACTTACAATGTACACATTTTTGACTACGTAACTTTTTCATTTATGTAAAATATTATGATTTAATAGTGCAATTGCACAATGCAGGCTGGACGGATTTAAGTGAAATTTAGTACACAATAAGGCAAAATGCACCAAAGCAGGCATTCTCGCACACCTCGTATACATTAGTTACAACAACATTTGTATATTTGTACATTGCTGAATGAAATAAGTGGTGGCAAATAACTTACGTGCTAAATAATAACCTTCACCTGACATCCCATTCGTTTTCTTGTTTTTCTATTGCCTTATATGTGCCGTGCATACTTCATGGTTATATTTACTCGCAGAAACATTTGTAATGTACAAGTATATATATATATAAATCATATATATATATATATATATATATATATATATATATATTTACCTACATGTTATTAAAATGTTATAATACTATGTTATAATTACTCCGTTATGATGAAGACCAAAAGTATGTATATACTGTGTTTTTCACATTGTGTCTTTTCGAAACTTCGAAGTCTGCAGGGACTATTATTGTAAGAAATATATTTAAAAAATAGTCTATACGTTTCTCCTTTGTATAAAATCTCGATTGCTGTAGTACAAAACAGTACTAAGTATCGAATGTCGAATCAAATATACATATATATGTATTAAATATATAATATAGAATAATATTTCATTCTTCATACTTCAAAAAATAATTTAATATGTACACTATAGCTAAGTTTAAATTAAAAAACAAAAAAAAAACATTAAAATATCTTTTTATTTTTCATATTTGAAAAACGCAAGTGTGTGAATAGCCTTATAACATGTCACATGTCTCAAACACAATGAAGATAGATAGTGTTGTGATCCCGTAAATTAATTACCTACGCATCAAACCTGTTGGTCTGTACTTGTATAATAAAATTAAAAAAACTTTGTGAATAATATTAAAAATGAAAAAGAAGCTGGCATGATAGACATCTGGACCAATTTATACGATTTTGTTTATAATCTTTAAGTTTTAACAAAAATGATGTAAAAATATTTTAGGTGCAGTATTTTCTAAATGTTTTAACTTCTGAGCAATTTTTCCATTTTTTATCTTCAAAAACTTCACACAACCACAATGACCACACATTTTAAAAATGTATTAGCCAAGTCGGTCCAATCGTTTTTAAGTGGTGCGCTTACCGCTGTTTCATTTTTATTTATATAGAATTTTTATTTATATGGAATGCACTTTTATGTCCAGAGGTGACAGCTTCGATTCTTGTCTAATGATTAGTATTATTGATATGACATACATGATATGTGTCACAGTGCTTAAAATATCCTTCTTTAAATAAACTATTTTTTCGAAATTTATTGTGGTTATGTAAAACATTTTTTAGTCTCACACTGTCTTTTTTTTGTTCTTCTCAAACATGGTCACGGGAGAGAAAGATTTCTATATTTGTTTGCTGTAAAACATTCGAAACGCCAAGAACAAAAATTTCATAGTCAAACTGCGTGAAAATGCGAAAAGATAGTTTTATTTAAAACGATACATATTCGTAAATATAAGAAAGTATACATATACAAAGCTTTTTTATGCGCTTGAAAAATAAATTTATTGATTAAAATTTTATCCAATGGAACTGACTTTATCGATTATCAGTGCAACATTTAAAAACTTTTATCCCTCTATTAATCTATTTTCACTTAGGAACGTAAGTATAATTTTTGTTAGATGACAGATAAAAAGACAAGGCAAGTCATACTGAGTTTTAGTTGGTCATTTTATATTGGGACTTTTATTTTATAATCTCTCTACTCGTATGTCTACTCTATATATAAATGTTTTTAAGAAAAGGGGCATATCCTTAAAATGTCGCGAGGGAATAGAGTTCAGAACTTACGACATCATAAAATGTGCCACCGTAGTTATCGCTATTGTACCATTGTTTGATATATCATATGAAATATTAAATGGACGATACCTTCAATAGCGTTATGAAAGGGTACTGGAATGTAGGATTAAAGTTTATTGTGTTATGATCTCTTTGTTCCTGAACTATTAACTAAACATTTAGACAACATACAATAATAGAGATATTTAAACATATTTTAATAAATAATTATTTTAAAAACGAAAAAGTACTGATATCAGCATTCTCTAGTACATTTTTCCATTTATTTTTGAAAATATGGAACTAGCCTTGGGGGGAACATATTTATTCAAAATTCATGAAAATTGGTTTGAAATTGGTAACGACATCTCGTGGTATTAATACACAAAAGTATACGTATTGACTACCTCCTTTATTTAAATTTATTTAATAAAAAGTAGTCTACGTCATTCTCTGGTTAATAAATTACTATACCTATTCAAAACTAGCTTACTGCGTAGTTAGAAAGCAGCGTAGGGTAAGTACCCCCGTTTGACTTGGGTGCGCCCCTAGAGGTCTTTTCGTCATACATTTTATTGCTTTATTTCAAACTGTTTAGGCGGCTCATACCAACAAGACAATTCCAGTGTTGCTTTACTTTCATATTAATAAAAGTTATTTAATTATTGACAGTAAGCAAATTTTTAACGGAAGGAAATAGCTTTCACCGGTAATGTAGCTTTCCATTAGTGAAAGAATTTTCACAATTGCATCAGTTGTCTTAGATATTACTCCACACATACAAACTTACAAAATTTACCTCTATATAATATAAATTAATGTAGATTTACACTAAGAAAGACGTACAAATAAACACACGATGATATTTATAAAAATATAATAAACGTCGAGTGTGTGGTCGGCCTTAACAAAGGGTTGAAAGGTGTCACCTCAGTTCACCACAACAATGAAGACTGATGCGCGTCACCGGCACTTGTTGGGAAATAAAATATTGTTAGATGGCAACACTATTTAGACATGTACTGCGTGACCACGTGTATAAATAGGAGACGATGAGTGGAAGGGCTCATTTTGTCACCAGACATCGAGAAAGCAACATTGCGCTCTGCCCTTATAAACTTACTGTAATTTGTGCTAGTTTTGTTAAAAATTAATTTAATTGTAATTATTTTCAGTTACTCATTAAAAATTATTTTTTTTAATCTTTTCAGTGTTTTATTTATAAGATCAGAAGTGGGATTCGAAGGCCTTAACCGCCCGAGAATCCGTCTGATTTTATAAATTTGACGAAGTAGGTAATTCTCGATCTTTTATGGTGTGTTTTATTCTCTGTCGAAGAATTGTATCATTGAGATTAAGTTGGGCAGAGACGCAATGCCTGCGGACTCTAGAAGGAAAGGGAGGCGTCGTACACGTACTCCCTCGCCTTCTAATACTCTGAACGAGATTTTGAAGAGACTACAAGATCTGGAGGAACGGGCACGCGGGAGCGAGCTTCTATCTGCTTCGGTGGTAACCCCGGAGCCCTGCCGAGCTCTCACTATGCCAAGCACGCCACTGCCAGCTGTGGAGCCTGCCACAACACCTGCCTGCGCACCCCCAGCTTCTGCACAAGACGTCGCTGCCACATCGACGCCTGCGGGGAACGACGCAAAAAGCGTTGCAGAACGCTTCCTAGACGCTATCATCCAATTCCCGGTGAGATCGAATCAATATTTTGTCTCAGATTTTGACCCGAGTGTTCATGATGTCGACACGTGGTGCGATGAAGTTAATAAAGCTAAAATCTCTTAATCGTTGGGAGGATAGTGAATGCCTTGCTCGCATAGGTCGTTGTCTTAAAGGTGAAGCACGCACCTGGCTTAGCGAGTGGACGAGTACCACACGTACTTGGTCTAACTTCAAATTAGAATTGAAAGCATTGTGTCCACGGTCTGTCGATATTGCGAACATTCTGTATAATGTTATGTGTACTGAGTCTGACAAGTATTCCACTTACGCCGAATATGCTCGTAAATCTTTACTAAAATTACGCATCGTCAAAGGGTTAAGTAGTGAATTGCTAACTGCTATAATTATACGGGGCATTACTGACCCACAGATTCGTGCGTCCGCAATGAACGCTAAATTAACACCTGAATGTATAGTAGAATACTTGTCAAGCTTCGTAAAGTGTGGTGTATCTAATTCTAATAAGAAAATCAGTACTCATAGTGTTTCAAATCGTAACAGTAATATCCAGTTAAAACGAAAATCTTTTGACACATTTAAAATCCGCTACTATCAGTATAACGAGGTAGGTCATAAGCGTGATCTTTGCCCCAAACGACCTAAGCCAGAAACTCAAAACAAAAATTCCGATAACAGTGGGGGTAGTTCTTCAACAAAACCTCGACTTGACAAGTGTGGTTTTTGTAAGAAGTTAGGTCATACGGAAATCCAGTGTTTTGCTAAGGAACGCGTTAGAAATAATAACACCGTTAATTTTTGTCGCGAAAATGAGGGTGAGCGTAAAAATCCTGATGTAGTTACGGCTGTCATATTCAATATACCCGTCGATGTACTCATAGACAGCGGTTCAAGTGTTTCTCTGATAATATCTGATTTAATTAAATACTTTTCGTGTAGAATAAAACCAGCTCACCAATTATTACGAGGCTTAGGCGGTATGGAGGTTGTAGCAACGTCTATGGTTACATTACCGATACAGTTAAATGATATCACATTAGAAGTTGATTTTTATATTGTGGATAAGAGTCATTTAAATGTGCCCGTAATTATTGGTACCGACGTTTTAAATAGAAAAGGTGTTGCCTATATTCGTACCGGTGACACACAGTGTATTGTCCACAGTAGTGCTTATGTAAATAATATTACTCAAGTAAACTCGTTATCAATTTTAGAGAATGTATCGAATGTATATGAATGTGAGATGATGCTGTTACTGGAAAGGTTAGGGAACAATTGTTAAATGTTTTGAGTAAATATTCCAATTACTTTTTAACCGGTACTGCTACCACTACAGTTAGAGATAGTGAAATGCAGATTAAATTGACTAGTGACGTTCCGATATATTACCGACCATATAAATTGTCTTATGACGAGAAAATACGTGTTCGCGCTATAGTTAAAGATTTATTAGAGAAAGGCATAATTCGCGAATCGGAGTCAGAATATGCTAGCCCGATCTTACTTGTGAAAAAGAAAGACGGTACAGACAGGATAGTCACGAGTTAAAGCTCGTAATAACTCAGACTATATCTTTGTTTGGCACTTTCAAGCGGCTTGTGTGCGATCGAAGCCGAATGTTTGATAATAATAATTTTGTACGTTGGTTAGATGATTTTGGTATCGAAGTACACTTTATTACGCCTGAGATGCATCAGGAAAACGGTCAGGTGGAACGATATTGCCGTACTGT